TCCTTCTTTCTGGAAGCTGTCTCCTGGAGCAGACAAGAGCAAACCGACACTGGTTTCAAAAGAACAGTTTGTGAACAAAGTACTCTTACTGTTACTGCACAAAAACCTTTCAGGAACATTTAGGCTTCTCTTACTTGAAACAGGAAATAAAAGAGCTGAGTATTTCTATGTAGTTTGTAAAGAAAACTGCTTCACTCGCAAGGAATGGGGGCATTAAACACATAGTGCCTGGTTTCCTCCCATATCCCACAGAGCTGCCTGGCCCTGCCAAAATGCCTCTTTTCTGTTCCTTCCTAATAACATCTTCTCCTGCCAGTTCAACCTCAGTACTACAGCCGTTGTCACAAGGGCACAATCACCAACACCACACAGTGGCCAGCATGTGCCAAGCAACCCGACAGCACTTTGAACAGTTACCCACTTACAGCAGATTGGCTTTGGTTGGTTTTCACAGTGCTCATTGCCTGAGCAGCTCTTTCACTCTGATTATTCAGCATCATGAGTTTCTTCTTCAGCATCACCTGCAATAGGAGAGATCAGAAATTATGTCAGAGAAGCAGTTGCATTGGGTCACACTCACTGAATAAGAATCATGTTCACAGAAAGTTTTAAATAACCTTTGTAAGCATTTAGTACCAGCAGTTTAAAACCTATTTCTCCTGAAACCTTCCAGGATGTAGTACTGTCCTGCATACATGTGCCTTGTGGCACCCACACCCTCCCTGCAGCTCCACCTCTCCCAGAAGCAAGATGCACACTGTTGACTCACTCTTGATAAGGACTGAGTGCTTTCAGCAGTTCACATGCTAAGAATAAATGTTAGCTCTCAGGCTGGGCTTTGGGCACAAAGTTAATGCTACTGTTCACCCCTCTCATTTTGAGAATTTTATCACTCAGATGTGAGTTACCTGTTCCTTTAGCTCAAGATGCTGCTAAGCTCAGTCAGGGGTGAGTTCTGCAGGAAAGCTGTACACTCACTCACCAAACAGATGGGAGTTTGGCCACCTGAACTTTTCAGGCATGCTTTACTCAACTACCCTCCAATTTTCAGCTGCACTGTAAGATATGAAGGCCAGGCTTCCACTCTGTGAATCTCCTTCTGGCTGGAGAAGAGCACTTCCTATGTGCTGGAGATCTCCCTAGGCTACTTTTATAATTCTTTGAGTCTTGAAAACATACACATGGCAATGTCTGTCCACAACCCCTCGGGTCAGCCTGTGAGAAGGCCATGCAGTGAGCCCTGGCACCAGAGGAGGCTTGGAGTTCTGGATGACACCGGGATTGTGGGAGACCTCACTGGTCAACCCAGCCCAGCCCAGCCCAGGAGCTGGCAATCAGCCCCATGACAGCACCTTCCCAGAACCCTGGCCCTTGAGCAACATCTTGGAGAAAGGAGGAAAATGCAAGGAATGACTCTCTCCTTGGAGAGAGGAGGAAAACACAAGGAATCAATCTGAAGATGTGCCTGGGAGGGAGATAACAGTCTGCCAAGGCCAGATGCAAGATTTACAGTCCAAGTCTTGGTCTAGCCTCCCCCTCGCTCTCCCTGAAGGAGAGAAGGGAGGCTCCAGGGTGTCCCTGGGAGGATGTTCCAGCCCCGGAGGGCACCAGACCCCGCAGCTGCTCACCTGGGCATTGGCTTTAGCCTCCTCCAAGGGGCTGGTGTGGCACACCTTGTGCCCGAGCAGGCACAGGGAGCAGATGCAGCTGCCGTGATTGCTGCAGAAGAACTCGAAGAGCCGGTTGTGCGAGGGGCACTTGCGGTACTGGAGGTCTCTCAGGGGCGGGCAGAGCTGGTGGTCGCGGAAGGCGGGGCTGTCGCGGTGCGGCCGCAGGTGCTCGGCGCAGAAGGACGCGGTGCAGGTCAGGCAGGTCTGCACGGCCGGCGCCTCCCGGCAGCTGTCGCAGTACACGGGGGGCTCCTCCGCCTCGCACTTCGCCGCCCCTCCATCCTCCTCCTCCTCCTCCTCCTCCTCCTGCTCCTCACCCCCGGCCCCAGCGCGGCCCTGGAGCTGCTCCACCACCCGGCACAGCACCGTGTTCTTCTGCAGCTTCGGGCGGACCGCGAAGGTGGCGCGGCACTGGGGGCAGCTGAACCCCTCCGACAGCCCGGCCCAGCTGAGCTCCAGGCAGGCGGCGCAGAAGTTGTGGCCGCAGGGCACCGTCACGGGGCTGCTGAAGAGGCAGAGGCAGATGCAGCAGGTCAGTTCCTCCTCCAGCCCCGCCAGGCTCAGCTCCGGCTCCAGCGTCGCCATCGCCGCGTCCGCCGCTGCTCCGAACAGCCAGAAATGAAACTGGGGATGGAGAAACGAAACCGGGTCTGGAAAATCGAAACTGGGGCCGGGGCTTTCCGGAAAATAGCGTGTCCCGTCCCCGCCCGATGGGAGGGACGGCAGCCCTGTGACAGCCCCGGCAGCACCCGCCCGTCCCCCGGACCGGGCAGCCCGAGGTACTGCGGACTCTGCCCCGGGATGGGCACGGGGGAGCACCGGGACCGGCCGCCCGCGACCCCCGGGCTGAACTCACACCCCTCCACGCACCGGGGCCGCGGGTGGACCGGGTCGAGGGGCTCCGGGGCGGGGGGTCGGGGCAGCGTCACTCACCGCCCCCAGAGACCTCGAGTTTGGTTTCTAAACCGCAGCGGGTGATGTCGGGTGCGGTGCCCACCCGGGCTGCCGGCCCTGCAGCCCCCCATAGCCCCCCGCAGCCCCCCATAGCTCCCTGCAGCCCCCCATAGCCCCCCGCAGCCCCCCATAGCTCACTGCAGCCCCCCATAGCCCCCCGCAGCCCCCCATAGCCCCCCGCAGCCCCCCATAGCTCACTGCAGCCCCCCATAGCCCCCCGCAGCCCCCCATAGCCCCCCGCAGCCCCGCTTGCAGCCCCCCATAGCCCCCCGCAGCCCCCCATAGCCCCCCGCAGCAACCCGCACAGAGGGAACTCGGGACACCCCAGCGCAGTCCGGCAGCTGCCGCGGTCACAACCCGCGAGCTCCTCCCGTCCGGAACCCGCACAGAGGGAACTCGGGACACCCCAGCGCAGTCCGGCAGCTGCCGCGGTCACAGCCCGCGAGCTCCTGCTTGGGGCTCAGGGAAGGGATGACCCCCAAATCCCGGCTGCTCTGCGCTATGGGTAACCTGGCTGTTGAAGATCAAATAGACTCGTAGAGTGGTTTCGGTTGGAAAGGACCTTAAACATCGCCTGGTTCCAACAGCTGATGTCAATCCAGCATTTTTAAAGCACGGGTTACTGTGCTGTGAACGTGGAAACCATCACAACAGAAGGTATTTCCTCGAATTTTTTTTTCTTTTCCTCAGTCTAACTGTTGAATAATCTCTGTTTCTAACAGGAACATTGATGCTGAATAGCAACAGGTGCAACTACTCCCGTTTTAACTAACCTGATTCCAAATTCTTACTCCTCCTTCTTCTGCCCTGTCTGTTGGTATCCCAGGGACTTGCTCAGGGCTCTCTGTACTTCTCCACCCACACTGGCAGCATGGATGAAACAGAGCACCCTGGCACAAATTCTGTGGGCCCCCAGTAATTTAAACAGAGCCTGGTGGTCTGTAGCACAAGGAGCTGTCTGCTCTCTACTCTTGTCCAGTGGGCAAAGGACACCTTGTATGGAGAACTGCTGAGGTTCCTTTTAATGTCATTAAAAAGTACTAGCACGCAATCGTGTAGTCATTAGTCCTTAGGGGCTCCTAAAAATGTTCAGGAATTGTATAAAGCACTCAAAAGAGGCAGTGGTGGGTCATCTGTTACAGTTGAAATGAACTCCTAGTCATTTCTTTTGTAAGACTGAATTAAATCTGGATGGTCGTTGCAAACCTACATTATAGAGATTAACGTGGACCCCTACCCACATCAGTTATCACTCCAGTCTTGCAGTACTGCTTCGGGATAAGCTGCCCAGGGCTCTGAGTCACTGCTTAGTGACAGATACAGGTGCAGAAAGGACAAGAGGAGGCATTTGGAGCTGCAAGGCTGTGACAGGAGGAAACCTTCAGGGACAGAGTCTCTCATCTGCCGGAGGGTGGAGGAGTTTCAGTTTCGAGATGGGCACGGTGCCATGCACTTACAGCACGGTTGGGATGGGCTGATCAGGACTTTGTAACTGCTGTCAGAGGAAATGCAAACACCCGGGGGAGCCTGAGAGGTGGTGGCTGACAGGGACTGCAAAGGAACATTCTTAGAGAGCTGTGCTGTGCATGTGTTACCGGTGACTGGACCAAGGAGCAGCTCTTAATGTTTACATTTTTTATTTTTCTATAGTGAATGAACTCCTTGGGCTTATCTGGACCAAGCCATTGTCATCTTTCAAAGGCTCAGTACCTTCTGCAGCACTCATCTGGTATCTACTGATACAAAGGTATGTAAATAAAAAAGGGTAAATATACACCCTGGCAACTGTAGCTTTTGCTTCTGGAGCAGAGCACAGGATGTTTAGAGCTCAGATGAGCAATTTAAGTTCCCCATTGTCAAAGAGGGCTTGAAATTCTGGTTTTGAGGAAGCCAAATCACTCTTTTTGTCTAAAAGACAATAACGTTGTAACATTAAAAATTAATTACCATTTACATAGCTAATGAAGTTACTGCTCTCTTTGCTTCCTTGAAATTACTTGAGAACTTCCTGTGGTCCTGAACTACATGGCCAAAATACAGTGTAGGCAGTGGAACAAGAGGCCAGTCCTGCTCTAACAGTGCTGTGAAATACTTGCACTTAGCTTTTACAATTTCTTAAGAATTAAAAATGAACAATTTCCCTTAGAAAAACAATCTTTCCATTAATCCCCACTGTCTCAGCATCACTGTGCTAGTGTCTGGCATCTTCTTCTTGTCCAGTTTGCAAGAACAGCCACACGTGAATCTAACTGTCCATTTCTCTAAAAAAACCAAATTCTAGCATGAAATAATGCCAACTAAAGAGAACCACAATACACAAATCAGTTTTACTTGTATAAAAATGATTCCTTCACAAACAAGACATTTTAATAGGGCTAATGGAAAGATGTGCAGTATTTTAATGTAATCATGCACTGGTCAGAGCACATATTAGCAAACCACCATGTACAGTTTTTCAGGTGTTTGTTTGTATCTAGAGTTTTTGGGTTTTTTCCATGTCTTCTCTGTAAGAGTCGACTACCCAGGACAGGGATTATCTGGAAGTGTAAGACTTGCCAGGTGTACAGAGGTACAAGTTGTCCCCTCAGTGTTAATAATTATCAGAGCTGTCAGGGCAGCACGTTGCCAGCACCCAGTGACCCACTGTGCTGCTGGGAAGGAAAGAAGAAAGGTAGCACAGCTCTTACAGAGCAAAAGGGTTTGATGTAAAACAAACAAACAAAAGGGTTTTCAGAGCCTACACAGATTAACACAATGGGGCACAATTTTGCTGGGGATTTGTGTTATTTTCCGCTGGTTCTAAGCAAGGTTGAGTTACCACTACTATTTATATGCCTCAAAATTACAGAAGCTTGAAATCCACATGGATTTCTGGGACATGTTCAGATGAACTCTGTAAGTAACTGCAAACTCATGGCATTTGTATGATGCTCAGCAGCAGCAGAGGAGGAGGTGTGCATATCAACAGTATTTAATTTTTAAATAAAAACGACCTCTGTAGGACAGTTATATGGTTTTAGCCAAACCCAGACATTTCAATAAGTTACTGACAGTACAAGGTTGTATTTTATCTTTTGATCAAACCATTCCAGTTCTGCAGCTCACAGCAGTAGGATATAAATATTAAGAAAAAACCCCAACAGACCTGTGTTAGACTAAACAAAGTCTTCCTGTACAGTGTAAAAACACACCCTAAGGAAAAAAAAGTGTTTTTCTTTTGGCATACTTGTTTTTAAAACAATTTATTAACAACATCCACCAGTGCACCTGCCACCCTCAGAACCAGAAGGCAGCATTTCACAAAACAAGTCTGTACAGTTATGTACTTTTTTTCACACTTTAGATGGTTCCATTTTCAACGCTGGATCCATTGACTGGAGGCTCAACAATCAGTCTTGGCTCTATCAGGGCGTCCCAGCTTTCAGTTATCTGAAAACATAGCACAGACAACACTTAGCAGGTACCAGCTACACCAACAGATGCAGTTTCTCTGTCATTACTCTTTGTCTAGGCCTGAACAAAGACTCATTCCTGTGATTCCCTGATCCTCTTGACGAACCTCAACCTGCCTGACATCCTGGGCAAGGGAAGATGCAGGTAAGAACAACAGTGCATGAAATCAATAAGCCTGAAAGAATGGATACTCTGTGAGACATGATGTTGTTTATTTTATTAGCCAAAATGAAAAGTTACAGTTTGATGCTGGCTTTGACCCCAGTTAATTGAGTAATATGCAAGAAGTGATTCTTACCTTGTGATCATGCACATTCTTGCTAGGAAGGAACATTTATTTTTGCTTCCATTTATTTTAATCAGATTACTCCCATTATTGTAAAGGGAATCTCCCTGAGATGCACAGAGCCATAAAGCAGGGCAGGTATCAGCTATGCAAACTGGTAACGGGATTCAAAGCAGGACTCACGTACCTTGGTGTCCTGAGGGACAGCATACTCAATCAGCTCTGCTCCATCTGCAGACTGGTAAACCAGATCGAATTTCCCCGGCTCCTTAGCAACTTAAAAACAAACAAACAACTCGATTAACTGTAAACAACAGCAAAAAAAGTTTAAACATTTACCTCCAACCCCAGTTTTGTTCTGTTTGGTTTACAGTTGTGTGTCTGGGCTTGTAATTCCAACAAAAAAAAATGTGAGGTAGAGCTGAATACTGCACACCAAAATTAAGGTGACTCATATGACTACATGTACAAAAAAGGTAACAATATGTTGCTTAAGTCTGAGAAAAATATCCATATGACAATTCATTAATTCTGGCTTCAATGGCAACTGCAGGACACCCCCTCAGTTTCAGAAACATTCCTTGTTTCAGGTCTCAGGAACTGCACCTTGTCACTGCAGGGACTCACTTCCACATCCACTGAAGGCAGTGGCTTCACTGATGGTGCAAAGAATGGCATTATGGTCTCACATCTTCTCTGTAATTCCACATATTGATTTCAGCTTTCTTCAGAAAATGAAGCCACACTAGAGGTGAGTTACTGAGCACTCATACTGACTGAAGAAATTCACTTTTCTAAATGCCCACGAGCATCTTCAGTTCAACTAGCAAGGGTTAGAACTCCTCCATTTAAAGAGACTTTTTGGGGAGGGAATGAGGAGGGAAGGGGTGTGTTGAGAATGAACCCAAGGAAATTGGGAATACTCCTGAAACATGAGCTGTTTGCCAAGTGATGCACATGACAACGAGGTACGTACTTTGTCCTGCTGGTGCTGAAAGGATCTCGAGCTCGATCTGTTTTTTATCAGCATTCCAACTGATTATTTTTGCCTCCTTCATAAAGCAACGAGAAAAGAATGAGGTAAGATACACTTCAGCACTGGATAACTATCCCATATCTACAACCACTGTGCTACTTGATCAATTCTAGAGGAAATTTGGCTATCAGTTTTTCCTATCTCTGTGTAGAAAATGTGCAGAGAATTAAAGCTCAGCAATCTGTAGCTACTGGCAACCAAAGTTTACTTACTGTCACTGACTTTTTAGTTTAACTCAGTACTTCTCCAGAAACCAAGTTCTCTCAAGTAGCTACGAAATTTTACTTGCACCAGTTTCAAGAACTTGCCCTGACTTCAAACCACAGCAGACTCAAATACATCTACATTTTTCTAGTTGAAGGTCTGTGTTTTTTGTCATCTCCAAAATCATTAATAATACCTGCAGTTGGGTTTGGCTTTTTTTTTTAAAATAACTTTTTTTATTTTTATTCACCTTTCAAATTTTCAATTAGTTTTCATTTTTACTGCTGCACCAGGAATGGCCTCTGGAGCCAACTGGATGCAAAGGAAAACAGTGCACAACCTCAAAATATTTAAAGTCATACCTCACCTATAATAGTTCTGTGAGTGAATTAAGGGAGGAAAGAAAATCAGTACCTTATAGTCTGAAACTTCAGGACTGTAATTTTCAGTTAGTTCCAAGCGCTGTTGAAAGAAATACAAATAACAAATTGTAAGTTTTTGCAGTGAAGTGTAATTATTTGTATGGTAAGATTGGCAATAATATTGTAGAAAAGGTATCTAGAGAAATAACAATATGTGCATGGAAATTCACACTGAAATGACAGCAGACACAACATTTCTTTGTGTTACACAAATACAGAAAGTCTAAAGAAATGCATTTAACTTATGCACAGGCTCCAAACCTTTGTAAAAATCTAAGTCAGACTTTACAATGAGAGAATTTTTTAGAGAAATTATTAGGTCAGAAGCTTAGAGTAGCCCAAATGAAGCAATTTTAGCCCACTAACATTCGGTATTTCCAGAGTTCTTTACCTTAAAGGCAATCTTTTCTCCCACTTGGGGTGGAGCAGCTAGAAGAGGTAACACACTATAGTCTCTCTTGGGAACTTCCACGGGATTCTGTGGAAAAAAACAGTATCCCATTGACTTAATTACTGTATTAGTAAAACCAGAAGATAATGTTTATGCTGTATGGGTTGTGAGAAGCTCTGAGAAGGGTAAGGTACCCATGTGAGTGCTTTGTTTTGAGATGTGTAGGACAATCACTTAAATACAAACACTTCCTCAGGCTGACAAATGGAGATATGATAAATAACAGATTTACTAAGATCAGCCTTTATCCCATTAAGCTATTTCTGCTTTCATGAATTACTCTCATCCTACAGACTTTTTGTATAGTTAAAGCTGCAAGAGAAAGGTGACCCCTGACTGTGCAAGTCACTCACCTGGACAACAACAGAAGTGTTTGTCGCAGATTCATTTAACTGCCTCTGTTTCTGGCCTTCACTGCTGTAGTTATAGAAGAAGCCAGGGTTTGCTCCTCTCCCATGGCCTTGGCCCCTCATCATCCCACGAAACCCACGGCCCCTGGGTCCTCTCCAGAAACAATCCTCTCCCGATCCACGCCCCCTTCCACGGCCTGGGCTGGCAAATGGTCCCTGAATATTGGTTGGCAACTGTTTAATACAGTTTCTTCCTATGGAATTACTCAGTCCAGCATCTGCTGCGGGTTTTTTAGTAACAGGTGTGTCTGAATCTGAACTGTCAGACTCTGAGGAGGAGCTCTTTGCTTTGGGAGCCTTGGTACTGGCTTTTACAGCCCCCGTGTTGGTGGGCAGAGACTTTTCCTTGGCAGTGCTGTCTTGTGCTGGTGTCGCCTTCTCATCCTCGGTGCTCGAGTCAGAATCTGAACTAGAGGACTGGGGTTTTTTAGCATTTTTACTAACTGCAGTCTTAGTCTTTTCACTGTTAGACTTTACAGTCACTTTATTCGTTTTTGCATCAGAATTTGCAGCAGCTTGGGATTTGTCTTTGGGAAGTGTCACCGCTACGGGTTTATGGGAAGATTTGTTTTGCTTTATGTTTAGTTCACTGCTGTCACTGTCAGACGATGTGCTGGAGGAATCTGAAGTTTCCACCTTCTTTTTTCTGGACTGTGTTGTGATCTTTTTGGTGCTATTTTTACCAGAATTTAGAGAAAAGTTCTCATTTTCCCGTTCTAAAGCCATCTTTGCTGCAGCAGCCTTTGTCTGCTTTTCATCCTTCTTTTTTGTTGCCAACTGTTTCTCCCTCTCAGCTTTTTTAAGCTTTTTAGAATGGGCAGTAGAGCTCTCTTCCTTATCTTCTGCAAGTCTATTTCTTCCACTAACTTCTTCCTTCCTTTTTCTTTTCGTGTACCTTTTTTGAGAGTCCCAAATATCTACAGAGCTCTCTTCCCTGCAAGAGGAATATTCGAGATTATGCTTGTCCTTTTTCTTTTTTCTTTTATGCCTGTCTTCATTCCTAGAGAATTCTTCCTTGTCCTGCTTGTGTCTGTGCCTTTTTTTGTCTTCTTTTGCTGTGTAAGTAAAGCCACCATCTGTCTCTTCATAATCATCTGCAACTATGTCGTCCAATTTTACTCTGTCAAAAAAAATCCAAACAAAAGTCACTGTTGAGCAAAACGAACACTTTTTCCTACATGTCAGCACCTCAGGTAAGTTATTCTGGAGCAGGGATGCTCCACCTGTGCATGGGACAGTCAGGAGCCTCCCCCATGAGCACAGGCTGTGACAGGCAGGTGCTGGGGCAGGGCCCAGGCAACGCTCCCCTTCCATCCTCAGGGACATTCCCAACCCCTTGGCTCCCTCCCAAGGAGGTCCCATCCCTGTCTTGCCATGTTCCAACCCTGAGGGGACTCAGAATCCCAGAATGGGTTAGGCTGGAAGGGACCACAGTGAGGCATCTGGACCGGGCAGAGCCTGCTCCGTGCTCTGACACCCCCTTTGGATACTGATGGGCATGGATGGGGTTTATATGTAGGATTGACTCCCCGCTCCCGCTCCCGCTGTCCTGATCTCAGTCCTGTTCCTGCTGTCCCGATCCCATGGTCCCAGTCCCGATCCCAGTCCAATCCCACTGTCCCTGTCCTGGTCCCCCTGTCCCTATCCTGGTCCCCCTGTCCCTATCCCCTTCGCATTCCCACTGTACCAGTCCCCGTCCCTATCCCTGTCCTGATCTCATCCCGCTGTCCCTATCCCATTCCCCCTATCCCATTCCCGCTATCCCATTCCCGCTATCCCATTCCCATCCCATTCCCCTATCCCATTCCCATCCCATTCCCATCCCATTCCCATCTCATTCCCCCTATCCCATTCCCATCCCATTCCTGCTATCCCATTCCCCTATCCCATTCCCATCCCATTCCCTATCCCATTCCCTATCCCATTCCCATCCCATTCCCTATCCCATTCCCCTATCCCATTCCCCTATCCCATTCCCCTATCCCATTCCCTATCCCATTCCCCTATCCCATTCCCTATCCCTATCCCATTCCCTATCCCATTCCCCTATCCCATTCCCTATCCCTATCCCATTCCCTATCCCATTCCCTATCCCATTCCCTATCCCATTCCCCTATCCCATTCCCCTATCCCATTCCCCTATCCCATTCCCCTATCCCATTCCCCTATCCCATTCCCCTATCCCATTCCCCTATCCCATTCCCATCCCATTCCCTATCCCTATCCCATTCCCTATCCCATTCCCTATCCCTATCCCATTCCCTATCCCATTCCCTATCCCATTCCCATCCCATTCCCATCCCATTCCCGCCCGTACCGCAGCGAGTCGTTGTCGCGCACCAGGCGCGCGCTCTCGGCGGGCGGCAGCAGCGCCCCCTGCAGGAAGAGGCTGAGGCGGGCGCGGCGGCTGAAGCCGAAGCGGTGCCGGATGAGGCTGAGCAGGTCGGTGACGAGGCGCGCCTGGCCCGGCTCCAGCAGGAGCCAGCACAGCGCGCAGCCCGGGCTGGCCGGCGGAGGGTGGTCGAACTGCAGCCGCAGCCGCACGGGGCCGCCGCCGGCAGCCGCCATCATGGCCGGGGAGGGGCGGGAGGAGGAGGCGGGGCGGGCGCGGGGGGCGGGGCCGCGGGCGGGGCGGGGCCGCGCGCGCGTGACCCGCGGGAGCTGAGGGAGCGATGGGGCCGCGCCGGGCCGGGAGCGCGCTGGGTGCGCTGTGTGTGCTGCTGCTGGCGGCGGGGACGGCAGGTACGGGGCGGGATGGGACGGGACGGGATAGGATAGGAACGACAGCCTCCGGGCACAGCGTGTCCAGCGGCCGCTGCCGCGCAGGCCCCGGGCTGAGCCCCGGGCGGTGCCGCTGCCCTGCCGGGGGTGGCGGCCGGGAGGGACGGGGAGAAGGAGGCAGCGGGAGCAGCAGAGCCCGGGCACTGCGGCGGGGGAGAGCCGTGTTGCTGCTTCTCCAGTGCGCTGCTGTCTTCTGCCCTGACCCAGGAGATAAGGGGTGGAGTTTCAAAGGTCTGTGCTGGGAGAGTGCCTGTCCTTCGTGGGCAATAGAGTGATTGCTTAAGGGGACCAAACTATACTGATTTCATTAACTCTAGGATTAGATCTTGGAGTCATTTAAAAGTGGCCGTCTGTTTGTCCTGCATTGGCTGTCCTTGGGGACTGCAGAGTGACTTGGTCTCTCCCGGCACTCAGATCACAGTGTTGGAGGTGGCTCAGCTGGTCAGAACACGGTGCTGATAACGCCAAGGTCTCACGGGCCACTCACTTCAGAGTCGGACTCCATGGTCCCTGGGGGTCCCTCCCAGCTCCGAATATTCTGTGAGCCCTGGGGACCCTGAAGCTGGTGTGAGTTATTCCATCGTGTCCAGTGGGGCTGTGCGTTCAGCTCAGGCCTTGGAAAGACTTTAAGTGTTTCCTGATAGTACAAATTATCCCAGTGATTGGGCTGTTGTTCCGGCGGCAGCTCTAAGGGCTCTGATAAGGAAGCACTTAATTACACACTTAGCTTCATTCATTGATGATAACTCAGCTGTGGGTGGGGGTGTAAGTATAAGTAGGTTTCTTATAGTAATTTTTTTTTTTTAATGGAAGCGCTTCTACTTACCACACCCAAGACTGAAATGTAATGATTTGGAACAAGTGTAATGGAAAGCCCAAAGCTGAGCCTTTTTACCTGGCTGATTTTCATTTTTATTTCCCCCCAAGGTGTAGTTCTGAGGCAGTCCCAAGAGCCCAAAGAGCTGTGGGGATATGTGCAGGTTCGGAGTAAGGCCCACATGTTCTGGTGGCTCTACTATGCAAATAACCCAACCAAAGACTTCACAGAACTACCTCTCGTCTTGTGGCTTCAGGTAAGGTTTGCTGAAAGACACCTCAGTGACAATTCTTTCCATCTGTGGTTCAGTTTGATTGGTATCTTGCAGCCCTACAGAAATAGGGTTGAAAATTTTAAATGACTCACCTTGTGAATGAGGTGTTCAGGTTGGGAAGAAACAATGATGATGACTCCTGCAGTTGTGGGGTGTCCCCAGCTGCTCACCTTCCATCAAGTTCAATTACAGAAACAGAGGTTTTTCTTGTCTTTCACCCAACAGTAGTGATTTTAGTGCATTGTAATGTCACAGCTCCTTTCCTGGAGAGCTTGCAGTCTAAACAATGTTCAGAGAGAGAGAGAGTAGATAAAATAATCAGAGATTTAAAATGGAAACAAGAGAGACTGTTTATAGATTGGTCCCATACTATCCCAGTCTGATAAAGGCAGTGGCATGTTCTCCACAGTCACCTCTAGCAGTACATTTCAGAAGTTAATGTTGAATATAATCACTTTGAGGATTTGGTCTTTTTCTTTCTGGGTTGTTTCATCAGGGTGAAATGCACAGGCTGTACATGCTGGTTAAACTAATGACTTGCAAACCCCTGCAGATCACTGACTTCTGCATTCGTTATTCAGGGAACAAGGTTCTGAAACTGCCCACTTAGCATGCAGCTCATCAGGTGATCTCCCAAGTGACTGCTTCTCTGTTTAATTCTTGCTTTCAGAAATGGGATGTGTGCACATAATGAAAGATGAGGAACAGAGCCTGCTCTGCAAATTAATGTGTAGTGCAAAAGCCATTTTTCAAAATTTACAATCTGTCGTTCTACTTACTGGCTCACTTTTACTTTTCTCCTATCTGTTGTGTGCAATGCTGCCTTTTAACTTCTTTGTCATTTGGTTTTTCCCCACAGGGAGGTCCAGGATCTTCAGGTTGTGGATTTGGGAACTTCGAAGAGATCGGTCCATTAGACAAAGAAATGAAACCAAGAAATACAACCTGGGTACAGTAGAGAGTTAAGCTTCTCATTATTGATTGCAAATGTTTGTTTGCTTGTGTAAGCAGATGATTGCTATGCAAAAACACACAGAACAGTTTTCATGTGAAGTTCAGTAGAACTATAATATTTCATCTTAAAATAGTGTGGTTAATAAATTGGCTCATAGGAGTAACCTTGTTTAGAGCTGAAGACTTCACCTATTAATTTGATTTGCTGGAATATGTCTGGGCTTCCATGAATTTGTGAAGTGCCGTTATCTGGGAAGCAGAGAGCAGGGAAATTGTAGAAAGTGTTATTTCAGATCACAGCTTCATTGTGGGCAGTCATAGAGCTTTTTCTGGATGGATGGCAGTGTAAAATGTATGGCTTGTAATTACAGGTCCAGTGTGGCCTTGAAGGGAAAACAAATTACAGCTGCCTATGAAGGTGGAAGTTCAATTAATGAAATGTATTTGTGCTCTGAGCTACAAACAGTCTGTAGTACTTCGGAGTTCCCCACATCATGTGGGTGACCTGCCCCTGGATCAATGGGTTTTTTTGGGTGCATTTCTTGTTGCAGATTGGGCAGTTTGAAAGACCTTATGTTATACTTCTGTATTGGTGAGCTTTGCTGCTATGAGCCATGAGAGCTCTCTGTGCTGATCTGATTTTATTTTTACAGTTGTAACTATACAACGATATTATTTACTACAACAATCTCACAAAATCCCAGGAACCCAAAAGAGAAGACTTTTCTGTAGAAGGAAACCTTTTTCTTTGTTTTACATTCTGACAGACAAGTGTCACCTGTACCATTTCTCTCTTTTGGTCTTTCACCTAATCTTTCTGCAAGTTCTTTCAGCCTCAGTTTGTGCCATCAAAACTTAAGTTTTTTGCTGGGGCTGAGCTGTGGTTTCATACAAACCTTCTTTCTGCTTGTACAGTTGCAGGCAGCCAGTATCTTGTTTGTGGACAATCCTGTGGGCACTGGATTCAGCTATGTGGATGATTGTAGCTTGTTTGCCAGAAACCTTTCCATGGTAGTTTCTGATATGATGGTTTTCCTTGAGGAATTCTTCTCATGTAGAACAGAATTCCAGGTCAGTGAATTGAATTCTTGTTTAGCATTTGCTTTTTCTTTGCTTTTAAATAGAACTCAAAAAGAATTAATGAACATATTTCCAGATGGGCAGTGTTTGCTGCTAGGTAGGGGTTGGTAGGACTCAGTGCAAGTATAATCACTGCCTCTTATTCCCCACAATTCAGAAGTTGTATCTTGAATTTGGGGTTAGTTAGATAAGCATTGGGGTGGATTGTTGTCTGTTGAATGATCTGAGAAGCACAAGAAAAATACTGAGTGTTTGGTAGTGAGAGGTGAATAGCCAGTGCCTGGCTTCTGTGGGCTGTGGTTGCAGGTATCTTCTGCCCTCTGCCCAACGAGTTCCTTGTGTGGCTTTTCTCTCCCCAGACCATCCCATTCTATATATTTTCTGAATCTTATGGAGGTAAAATGGCTGCTGGCATTGCTTTAGAGCTGCACAGGGTAAGTAGTTGGAGGATGTAGTTTGCTTCTCGCTTTAAAATGTAGTCTTCTACAAGTTCTTGTATTTTCTGGAATACACTGTCCCTGTTGCCCAATTCACAGTGGTACTTATCTTTTTCACTTAAAGAAAACTGACTCTGGAGTCATGAATCTATAACTAAAAGTCGTGGGTTTGTTTGGTTTTGTTTTTCCTGTTATTTACCCAGGCTGTTCAAAAAGGGACCATAAAGTGCAATTTTATGGGGACTGCTCTTGGAGACTCGTGGATTTCTCCCTTGGGTATGTTTAAAATCCTCAGACTGTGGGTGATTTGTTGTTGTTTTGTTGATTCCTTTAATCATTCCACAAGTACCTAAAGTCAAAAATGCCATCCCTGCCTTAAGTGAATAGATTTCACTGATTAATGCTTTGGGGGGTTAATGATGTTGCAGGATTTGTAAAGAACCTGCTCTGTGGTAATAACCTTAGGGCTAAACTGAGCTGACAGTACTTTTTTACTGATTAATTCATCTCCATAGGCTTTTGTCATGGTCAGTGTTGCCACAATAAAAGGAAAGTAAGTTAAATTGTAGATCAGAAAGTTCCATGTTTGAAATCTGTTCTGTTTCTTTAGACTCTGTGCTGTCTTGGGGGCCCTACCTTTACAGCACTGTAAGTACCTTCTTAAACTCTTGGTCCTCACCTGATCACTTGTGCTGCCATACAGTGTAAATGAATTTGAAGGTTACCTCTTACTCAGAAGAGAACCTCGAAAGCGTGGAGGCTGTTGGCAATAAATGAATGTGAAATCACAATTAAAGCTGTCCTCCTTTGTGTTTGCTTTCCAGTCTCTCCTTGATGATAACGGCCTAGCAGAGGTGACTGCTGTTGCCAAAGAAATAATGGATGCAATAAATAAAAATCAGTATGGGCTGGCCACTGAGCTCTGGGGCAAGGCTGAAAGTGTCATTGAAGAGGTGAGAGCTTTGACCAACATGAGTAACTAACTGCTGCCTGGGGAGGCACATGATTTCAGGTTATCCTTTCTATGAGCTCTGGGTTGGCAGGAATTCTCCTGCCCAGTCGTTTTTGCCAGTATTTATTTTATCCCAGTGCTGATGTAAAGGAGTTGTTTGTTTGCTGTGCACCACTGTGTGGTTGAGAGGCAGTGGGTAGGGCAGCTCTCAGGAGTTTGTATTGCATCAAGGTTTCAACCTGGCAATGACTTAAATAGATGCTTAATATTTAGCATGCAAGTGGTCCTGTTGAATTCCAGAGAATCCAGTTTCAAATTAAATGAGCTATATCTCCTTGAAAACTTTGAATATTGAAAGCTGCATCCAGCAAGACACAAATTTCAAGTTAAGCACAGATCTCTATTTGAAGAACTACAATAGGTACACAGGATGCAAAGGAACTTCAAGTTATGTCCTGTTACTGTGAGTCACATCTTGTTACTTAGCAAGTTCCAGCTTAAAAGATTGGTAAAGTTTTGCTCTTGTCTCTCCTGTTGAAAGGTTGCTCCAAAATCTCATTCTTTGTATTCTTTAGTACAGGTAGCACTCTGGCTGCTTCAAACAGAAAGGCTGATCTGGAGCCAATTCCTTTTCTTGCTCTTTTTTGGGGTTGGGTTTTTTTGTGGTTGTTTCATAACTGACAGTGCCTTGCACATAGGTGGTTTCACTTCTTGCTGTTTGGAAGGAACTTGTGGTTCCTGTTTTACCTTTCTCTTCAAGTCTGCTTGTGTCCCCTCCTCCCAGTTGGGATGGTGCTGGCAGGTGAAGGCACTGCAGTTCTCCTGGGGTTGCTGTTGTGAGCTGATTTCTGACCTTATGCACCAGAAGTATAAAAATAAAAACAATTGAGTAAAGCAGGGCTTTAAGAATCTCGAGTAACTTCTTTAATGGCAGCACTGATCACACCTGTCCCCTGGATACAGGCAGCCATTCTGTAATCCTTGGACACATCCAGATCCCAGCAGTTCCAAAAGAGGGGTGGCTCATACCTACCACCACGTTCTTGAGGAAGCATTTTAGATTTTGCAGGGTGGTAGCTTGGAAGGATGTTGAGGCAGCACCAGGCCAGACTAGATGTGGCAGCAGAGCCCATCTGAAAGCATCACCTGGCACTGCAGCTTTCTGTAATGAGTAATGAGAATCCACAGTCATTTGTGGGGTGTAAGGCTTCCTGTAGCTTCCCATCTGTTTTGGAGGAGTAAATAGTATCTCTGGCACAACCCATGAGAGAGCAACACAGGCCTGAGGAATCCCTTCCTCACTTCTCAAAGCAAATGTAGGACCTGAGTTTTTCCATAAGTATCTTCCTGAAGTGCTGGTAAAGTGGCAGGTCACAGGGTCCTTTATTTAGGATTCACTTATCTCTTTTTTTCAGAATAGTCTGTTCCTCATATCTGAGAAATGGTTTTGTTACTGAAATTATCTTGTGTTTTCAGAACACAGACAATGTGAACTTCTATAACATCATGACTAAGGATGTTCCAGAAATGAAATCAGATGAACAAGAAAATCTCTATCTCAGTAAGTTGTATTTAAATACTTGAGCTTCTGAGGCCCTATGTTTGCATTCATACCTTCAGCTCTGATAGTGGAAAGAGCCTCAATTTAGCACATCCTTAAAATGGATGTTGATATTCTCCTGAGCAGAACTTGTTTGCTCTTGCATAAATAGAGACAGATAGGAATGTGGAACAACCCTGTGGATTACACCTCCACCTGTACATCCTGCACAAATTACAGCAAGGAAGCACTCAGTATAATTGCAACACATTTTATGACCTTTAAGTTACTTCCTCCTGTTGTCTTTCGTTTCTGTCTTCAAGCTAGGACACAGAAATGTCTCATCAGTATAAATAGTCTGATTAGACTCTTTTGCTCCATGATGTTTGAGCATCAGTGTGAAAAACACACGTGTAGAGTTTCTTTCAGGCTCATTACTTCTTTCTCTTGGCTTCATCAGGGAAGGTGAAATTAACTCCCAAAAGTAAAACACTGCAGCTCAAAAATAACTGGTCATTTGAGAAGCCTTGTCTGTACCAAGTGGCTAAAGCAGAAGCTGAGCTCCTGAAAAAATGCTGTGTTAGCCAAAAGTAGACATGGATGGTTGGGTTCCTCCCACATCATCCCCTGACCTACATAAGGGTAGAGTTCAGTGGTTTCTACTAAAAGGAAGCAAATCTCTCTCTGTGGTGTTGCATTTTCATTAGAGCAGAGTTTGTTGGCCATGTCTGTGGCACTGAAAATCATCTGTGCAGGGTGACTGTCTCAGACGTGCCACTGATCAAAGGGTTCTCTCTTTTTCCAGCGCGACTTTACCAGCGCCATGTCAGAAACATGCACCAGGGCAGCCTGGATGAACTGATGAATGGCCCCGTCAGAAAGAAGCTGAAGATTATTCCTGACTGTGTGAAATGGGGAGGTACATTCCTGTGCACCTCATGAGTCCATCACTGCTGTTCAGAGCACTGCAGCCTGTAGGAAGATGCTCTGGCAATTGCTCACATTCCATTGTCATTATCCTTGGGGGCTAAGAAGGGGACTTATTCTCAGAAATGAAAATGTCATAGGGCAGATGTGGTTCTGGTTCCAATTCTGCTGCTTGTATCTGTCTTTAGCCAAGTAATTAAAAGTACAAGGGGAGGGAGGCAGAAGATCCTCTGTATCTCAGCAGTTGGTTTCTGTCTTTCATGCAATCTTGCTGAAATTGCCATCAGTTTTTCTCTGCCAAAAGTCTGGTATCATGTAATGATGCATTGTGTGGAGGAGAGGGTGTAAAACAGAAAGGAAGGCTGAAAGGACTGATGGATGCCAGCACCTCGTGTGTGTAAATAGGAGCCAGGAGTTACAGGGCTGTCTGTGAGCTCCAGTGGGTGGGAGACTGGCTGCTTTCTGGTCCCCTTTGGTTCCTCAGACTGATAAATCACTGGCTGCCACTTTGGGCTAGGACTGGTTTTTATGCTGCTGTGAACTGCATTTCAGAACCTTTAGCCCATGCTTCTCTACCAGCTTGGGGATGACATCCTTTGAGGATCAGTTAAAATTTGTCTTTCCCGTTCCAACCAGGTCAGTCCAGACAGGTCTTTGAGAACATGGCTGAGGACTTCATGAAACCTGTCATTGATGTTGTTGATCAGCTTTTGGCAGCCAATGTTAATGTCACAGTCTATAATGGGCAGCTGGATCTCATTGTTGACACCATGGGTAAGGAACTTCTTGGCTGGGGCTGGGAACAGAAGTATGAGTGATGAGTAGAATGTGAAGTTGCCAGGATATTGGTACCTGGATTTCTCCAGTCTCCTATGCAAATCTTCTAACTGGCAGAGCTTAAATACTGCAGTCATAAACGAGCAGCTTTTAGTATGTTTTGCTTATGTCCCTCTGAGAGAGGCAAATCCTTTACCTCCATTATGCTGTTGAGAAATGCATCTGAAACTTTAGTAATTGCTTGTTTCAGTGAAGCCAATAATTCACTTAACTCTTCTGATAGATGCATATATCTGTGTGTTTGTGTGTGTGCTTGTTCATAAATGAAGAATGTTGTAATTAATGAGGGAGGTGCAGTTGAAGAGTGATCACATCTGCCCTCAGTAACATGTAGGCTCCTGTACATCTTGGGCTTTGTTTGTCCCTCACTGCTTGCAAGATGCAGATTTGGTCCAGTGGCAGTTTGGGAGGGAGGCCAAGTACTCCTGCAGTGCTTCCTGCTACAAGACTGCCCTGCTCCCTTCCACTCACCTTTTCTTTTGAGTTAAATAATCTGCAATCACAGACCACCCAACACCTTCCTGTGTTGTGAAAGGCTTTACTCTTTGTCTGTCTCTGCCCACTTAGGTATTCAGATGCCCTTCATGAACAATACAGCAATCAATAAATCCAGGAAACAGTATTTAGGCCATCAAAACAGATTAGCAGTTAGTGGTGCTCCAGTTTATCGTATTTTGAGCTAAAATGGAGCTGCAGTTAAGATGTAAATTCTTCCAGTAGTTCAGAGGTGGGCTAAAGGTTTGGCACCCTTGGTGTCCTGGAATTGGTCTTTTTTCTGTCTTGTCACCTTCTCTAGCAGCACCTGAAAACAACCTTTCCAGGCTCTTCTCAGTGAGTGTCTAACAAACAGAGACACAGTGTTTCTTGATTTCTGAGACGGGGGCTTGGTGTGGCTGATCCTTCTCCACGGCAGGACATTCAGGTGTTTGAGGAGTAAAACAAAATAACATTGGAATTTCTGGGGCAGCAGAGCCTCCAAGAGGCAGATGTTTAACTGGTGCAATCATAAGTCCACTTCAGATACACCTTCAGTGTTTGCTTTCCCCTTCTCCCTCCGCTGATTGGTTTCAGCCTGTCCTGAACCAGCCTGGATTATTTTCCCAGGCATAGCAAAATTGTTTTTAGAACCTGAGCACACAGAGACTTTGTGCTCACTCTGCTGTATTGGTACCTTGTGCAGTGGGCATCCAGCTGAACTAGACTCCCAAGTTGTTGTGTCAGTATCTGTAATCAAACATCTCTCTCATCTCCCGCAGGCCAGGAAGCGTGGATCCGGAAACTGAAATGGCCCTGTTTGGACCAGTTCAGCCAGAAAAGGTGGAAGGCACTGTATGTGTCTCCAGATTCCACCCAAACAGCTGCTTTCCACAAGGCCTATGAGAACTTTGCTTTCTTCTGGATTCTCAAGGCTGGGCACATGGTAAATAATGACCTTCTTGGGGCGGGGGGGGCACCATTATCAGCAAGGAAACTGCAGAAGGTTTGTGCCTGCTGTCTGCTTCCTTAGAGCAGCTGCTTATTGTGTGCTTACCTCTGTGCCAGGTACCTTCTGACCAAGGGGAGATGGCACTGAAAATGCTCAAGATGGTGACCCAGCAGCAGCTGTAGGGAAGGGGAGCCCAGCTGGCCTGGCTTCCTGCCCAGCCCCAGGGCTCCTGCGGAGTGAGTCCAGAATCCGGAGCCGAAGGAGGAGCAATGGCTGTTTGGACACACAGCCTCTCTGATCTCGTGATAAAGTGCACAAGCACTCATGGAAAGGCATTTTTTTCCTTGAATGAGTTGTTGCTTTTGAATTTTTAAGCTGTGATTTGCTGCCTTAATACTGTTCAAAAATGACACTCAGAGGAAAGTCCACTGTCATAAAGAACTAACTCTGATCCTTTGACTTGGAAGGATTTTGTGCTCTTGCCCTTCCCTGAATGCTCCCTTCTCTGTTCACACACCAAGACTAAAACTGATTTGACCCCTGATAGATTTGCTTTGTGTTCCTCTCTGAGAGCTGATCTGCTTCATGAGGCCGTGGAATGTTCCTTCCTTTGTCCTGAGGCCTCTGCTTGAGTCACCTGGCTGGATTACAAGCTGAACATATGGAGACAACAGGATAGAGGACCTGCCCCAGAGGAATCACAGTCCATCTCATCTTGCTGGGGGGCCTGAATTAGGATCCAGGATTGTTCAGGTTTCCTGTGTTACGGAGATAGAAAAACACCCCCCAGAGGAGGATTTGACCTTTTTCATGTGGCCATTTGTTTCTTGTTTTCATTCTCTTTAATAACTATTACTCAAACTTTGCCTTTAGCCTTAACACCTAAAGCAGGAATTCCTGCTTTCCTGGAAGCAGGAGCCCTGTTAATACCCTCTTCTTGTACAGGAAAGAGTCCTAATGGACAGAAGCCACTTAAACCTTCTGGCTTTAGCCTGGAGAGTGGAAAGGAGCATTATATGAACAATAATAGCATAGTTCTGAGAGATAATAGCAGTGTTTAAAAGAAGGGTATATAAAATCTTGATCTATATTTTTTAAAGATTTTTTTTTTTTTTAAGTCTTGCAGAGACCTATTATTTTGAAACAACTTTTTTTTTATATACTAGTTAAGAAGAGACTCGGTCAGACATCATTTGACTTCTGCTACGGAGCTCAGAGCCGCTGCTGTTTATTGGTGTCTGATAGGAGGCACAACAGCTCATTCCAGCTGTCAGAATCCTAAATAAATAGCAGCCCTACAATTACTTCAGCAACTGAAACTGCCATGAAATGCCTGAGAGCACTGGCTCAGCAAGGACTGAGGCATAATGCTGTGTAAACACATATGCAGTCACCCAGCAGCTGCAGTATTGGCACCTAATAAGTGCTTTCCTTTTTTGTGTTCTCTCCTTGAACTGTATTCTAGAGAACTTTAGCAATGCAAATCCAGATTTATTTTTTTAAACATTTGTTGGAATAAATAGGTCTAATTGATCTCTCTTCAGCATCACACTGATGTCACTGCTTGAGAATCATACCTTTTCTGTTTTGGCTTTTAGATGAACAAGAGGAGAGTGCTGGAAGTGTGTAAGTGTGAATATCTGCATTTTTGAAATATTTTTAAGTAACTTGCCAAGCAAATCAGCATGTTTGAGCCTGGGCAGTGTGCTGGTTTGGGCTGGGATAGAGTTCCTTTTCCTCATAGTAGATATTCTGGGCTGTGTTTGGATTTGTGCTGGGGACAGTGTTGATAACACAGGGGTGTTTTAGCTGTCACTGAGCAGTGTTGTCACAGCATCAAGGCCTGTTCTGCTCCTCACCCAGCAGGAAGGCTGAGGGGCACAAAGAGCTGGGAGGGGGCACAGCCAGGACAGCTGACCCCAGCTGACCCAGGGGATATCCCAGACCATGTGGTGCCAGGCTCAGCAGGGAAAGCTGGGGGAAGAAGAAGGAAGGGGGGACATTTGGAATGATGGTGTTTCTTCCCAAGTAACTGCTACATGTGATGGAGCCCTGCTGTCCTGGGATGGATGAACACCTGCCTGCCCATGGGAAGTGCTGAATGAATTCCTTGTTTTGACTGGCTTGTGTGTGCAGCATTTGCTTTCCTATTAAACTGCCTTTATCTCAACACATGTGTTTTCTCACTTTTCCCCTTCAGATTCTCTCAGGAACAGCTTTGTGGTGCTTGTTTGCTGGCTGGGATTAAACCATGGCAGCAGTTTGGATTGGCTTGTAGTCCTCAATCCTGTTATATACAATATTTTGCATTATGCCTAAACAAGTAATACTATAGGGCTTGCTAAAGGAAAAGAATTGAGGTGGTCTCTCCAGAAAGCACAACTGAGTGCTGTTCTTACACTTCTTTATCAAGTGGGACATTGATTCACGTTGCCTAGAGCTTGTGCTCAGTCATAGGCCTGAGACATCTGTTTCTTGTCCTGCTTTGTTTCAGCTTCTGCAGGTTTTTCAGTTGGCAGAGATGGGTTATGAGGAGAAAGGATGGTTTCTACAAGGCTGGTGTTAGCGATTTGTTGATTTTAGGGGCTATGCCAGATCTAAACTTGTTAGAATAAAAATACTTGCCCATGGAGACAGGCCTTTAAATAGTGTCCATTCAAATGCAAACAGCAAAAAGCAGATATCCTTTAATATCAAGGAGGATTCCTTTTATCTCACCAGAGGCTTTGTCACTGGTGTGTCACAGCTCTAGATCATCACAAAGGTAGGTCACCTGTCCAGCAGATGCTGTAAGAAATGAGTTGCTTTGAAAGGAGTTCAAGTCCTGCTGTGTGTATCTGATTAGCAGTGACATACTTTGTCCATTTGGATTTCATGCAGTGTGTCATTTCCAGATAAGGGAAATGTCACTTGGCAAATCCATTAGAGTGAGTCGTTCTAAATATTAATAAGATTTTTTACAGATGCTGGGTCAGTCAAGAGAAAACAGCCCAACACTTGTATTTCATCCTCTGCAGCTGCAGGCTTGCCTGACAGCCACTGACTTATTTTGCTCACCATCAGTTGAAGATAATTTTCATAGAAACAAATCTGCATTAAAAATCAATAATTCACCACTGCTGCTTCAGCAAGAGCAGTTTTGGCTTCCTATAACAATCTGCCTTTTCTAAGCCAGAGAAAGAAATCTAGAAGTTTCTTTCAAAGCCACAACAGAAGGAGAATGTCTGTGTACAGAGGCAAGATGGAAATCTCAGAGCACTTCTTCATGGTCATGTTGTGTCTCTTATCCTGTAAATATTCTGATGTATGGCAGCACAGTCTGTATGTGTCATTTCTGAAGCCTGGGATATATTAATGGTTTTTCCAGGAGGGATTCAGGAAAGGAATAATTTATCTGGCCCACAGCAATGAAGGAACAGTAAGAATTTGAATAGAGCAGAGTTCACCCTCACAAGCTTTCTCTGAACCTGTTTTTGGCATTTGCTGTATAATACATTTGGTAGTTAAAGAGCAGTTTCAGCTCTTATGGAGGAACAAATGTCATTTGGTCACTGCTTGGGGGGGATTTTTTTTCTTTGTGATTGGTGATTGAGGTAGGCAGAACTATGTTGGATATACCTGCAGGACTAGAGGTGTGTTAGTATGAATGGCCTAATGCAGTGGGTTTATAGGTAGATACTGTTCTGACTAGGGCTGTGGCTGTTTGAAAATGCTGTGAATCATCCAAGCCTAAGAGACAGCTGGAATAATTCCATCTGCAAGCTGCAGTCAGTAGATTTGATAATGCCTACCACAGTCATTTTCAAAGGCAATTATAAAGGCTGCTAGAACCAGCCTGGTTAAGGTGCTTTTCTAATTGCTTCTCTGTTCCTAAAGTGTCCTTTTCAGGGCTGTTTCTCTACAACCTGGTTGCAGTGTGTCTTTGAAACAGCCTGTTCAGCACCATTAGCCCCACAGCCAACTTGGTCCATGGATGGTCACAGTGACAGTGATGCTGCACTTACATTCTCCTGTATAAATATTTTTGTTCTGTCCTTTATCTTCCACTACTCAGCCAGTTGGGACTCATCTCACACAGTCTGGAGACACAACAAGTGATCACTCTTTGGCATTAGCATCAGTGTGGTATATCATGTTCTAATTTGATTTTTCTGTCCCACTTCTCCTTGCTAAGTACAGCAGTATCTGGGAATTACATTCTTGTAGTCAGCTGTAGTAAAACTACAGATGGAATGTGTTTATTCAGATGTTGTGTAGTCCATCTCGGATAGGACAAAATAAATGAAACTTGTAGAAACTTTATTTGAAGCAGTAAGAGAGAACTTTGAACAGTTCATATGCTGTGTTATGGGTGAGTTAGGCTAAAGAAAATACACTGGCTGGTGCATCCTCAGTCTGTTACAGCTGCTAGGTGATTTTCTAGATGAATCATTTATTTTTTAATAAATTGAGGGAGGGAAGGGAGGCAAAAATGGTCTCCAAGAATTTGTGGCTTAGGTCTGTTAATGTGGTTTGCTTAGATCCAGAGATCTGTGTGTCACTCGACAGTTCTTTTGGGGGTAGAAGTTGAAAATAGCTTGGCTGTAGCTACTACACTGGCTTTTGGAGTTTTAAACATCCCATTGCTTTCAAGAGGTAGACAGATGCCCTTGCATGTTGTAATCTGAGGGCAGTGTAATTCTGCCCAACTGCTCAGAGCTCGTCAAGAGAAAAGTGGACAGGTGCTGTCCCTTCCCTAAGGCAGCAGGGAGGCTTCTGGGATGTGCCAAAGAGAGGTTCGGCCCCAGGGCATTCGGAGGGCTGTGGGACTCGTTGGAAGAGGGAGAAAGCAGGCTTTATCCCATACTATTCGTTCATCTCTGCTTTGTGTATTGCTTTTCTTGCTTCACGTCGCCAGCCGTGGATTCCCTGGGCTGGGACAGGCGTGCAGTGGGATGACCGGCCACTCGGTGGAGTAAGGAGACCTCAAATGCCATGGGAACACGCTGGCCTTGGCATCGGAGCTCCTGGTGCCGTCCCTGGAAGCACCAGGGCAGCACTTGGAAACGCGCGTTCGATCCTGTGAATTCACAGTGAGTCGGTTCTATGTGAACCAATGCAGGGGATTATTTAATTTTGGCAATAAGTTCGGGAGAACGGATACTTTGGTCTCTGTGAGCACAGTCCTGACTACAACAAGGCTTTATAGTTGCAAGTAACAGCTGAATTTGGCTGCTTTCACCTGCACACACCATTTGAGGTTGTGATTTGTACCAAGGGATACTGTTTTTCAAGTGGAGTATTCCTTGCCTGTCCTTAAAACCTCATGACCAATGTCTCTGAGGGTGGTACGTGTGTTGTAAATGAAACAAATAAGGCATTAATGTGTTTGAGGTAAGTGCAGTTTGGTTCATCTGGCAGAGTTATGGCCATGCCTAATTCATAATCTGGTAGGAGTTCTGTTGAAGTAGAGCAAGAGCGTTCAGACTGTGTAAAATTAAACCACTAAAACTTTTATGAGGTGAGGTCCTTTAGCACCTAGAAAATTTGAAAGGAAGATCCTTGCTTATAGAAACATTTCCCCAAAATTTCTGAGGTTTGTTTTGTTGTTTAACTTTTTATCACAGAAAAAAAAAAGATTAGCGAAAAGGCACTAAAAAAAAAATCAGGTATCTGCTGTGCCATACCTAATTAAGCTAGTCTGAGAAAACTCCATTGCCTCTAATTTTTAAGTAATACTTTCAAGTTCTCAGGGGCAAGAGTGTTAATAAGCTAATTCTTGCTGCCTGTTACCTGTTGTTTGTGACACTTAAAGAGAATACCCAGCTGATAAAGCACATCTGTTATGTTGTTAATCAATCAATGGGGGAAACAAGATTTGATTCAAAAACAGTAAGACCGTTAGAAGTCAAATATTCAACGAGGGCTGTATTGTGTATACTATAAAGAGAAATTGTTCTGAGAGGCTGGATCTCAAAATGTTGCTGTGATATTCTGGTACACAACCAGAATTGTAGATAAGGTCATCAGCCCTGGGGAATGCACTCTTTAGACATTGTTTCTGACACCAGATTACAATTTTCTCTGTAAATGGAAGCGACATTGATGGAAAAGCAGCTAATTGTAAAGAAATCCTGCAAATGACAGCCATGGCCTGTGGTATTCAATGAAATATTTCCTCTTGAACTATTTATTCTTAACAGGCAAATATGGAATCACCTCTGCTGTCATATTTCAAATTCAGGAAACTAGATTGGCAGGATGTAAAATATTTACTTCACATAGTGCATGAGTCAAATGGAGAAGTTGCCAAACATTTCTGATTAAACATTTTGATACACCAGTAGGGAAAAACAGCCCACTGGTACCAGCAGACAGGTCCTACCTAGGCCTGGAGAAGCAGAGATCAGCAAGGAGTAATGCCAGCTCCATCCACTGGCAATAAAAACTGACCTCCTTGATCCAGCCTTACAGAAACTCTACCTTGGCAGTGCAGTTGCCCAGCAAGTGGGTGGCACATGTTTGTCTCCCTGTCCTGACTTTAGCACCCATGGGGCACCCCCAGCTTTCAGATCCCAGACCTTTACTGACAACACCTCGCATCCCAATTCTCCCATATTCAGTGCTGTCAAATCATCTCCCAGCTGTCAGATATTTGCTCAAAATATTCAGCTACCTACAATGACAGCTTCTACAGCCTCTTCAGCTCTCTTATCAGCTTGATTCCAGTGCTTGCTGGCACTCAGCCTGTCTGTGGCAGTTCTCAGACTTCAGTGCTAACTCCCCAAACTGCAGTGTCTCAACCTGGAGCTTTGTTCTTCCACCTCCCCACCAAATTAATGCAAGAATGACACAGATTTTAATACTGACAGTTTGGGTCTAAATCTGTGTTGCTCCTTACTTGCATATCTAGCCTAAGTTCCTTCTCCAGGAAGAGAGAGAATCAGTGGAAATTAACTGGATTTCATGAAAGTGAGTGCAACCCCTCCAAGGTGTGGGAATTCCTCCCATGGTCAAGGCAAACAGGAATAAGTATTCCTTTCTTTTTCCACCATAGCACTTAGTGTAACTCCACTTCCCAGTCTGGAACTGCACAGCTGCCCACCTGCACACAGAGAAGTGAGTCAGATGGTGCAAGGAGTCACTCTGAGACATCTCAGCAAACAAAGTGGGACAGTGACACAGATGTGCTCTGAGGCTTTGAAGAGGCTGAACTCCACTTCAGAGCAGACAGACTGACAGTAACTGATTCCACAACTCCAAGGGGCACCAGCTCACAGATTTTTGAATAGGTGCCCCCAAGGGGTGTGCTGAGCTCAGTCCCCACGTAACCTGAAGATGAGTTCGAGGGTTCCTTTTTTCTGAGATAAAAGCTGAACATCCCCACATCTTAAGAATCCTGCTCTAACTAGACAGCTTCAGAGAAGTTTGCTGATCAAATATTTTGCTTCCCTTTTCTTTTTCAGATCTCTTCACATCTCTCCATAAATTCTCATATCTGATCTCTGCACTTTGATTTTTTTTTTTTCCCCAGTCTGAGAAGACCCTTTAGCACATCAGTGAGGGAAAGGAGAACTCTTCAGTATTTTTTGTAAAACTAAAGGAAGGTAAAGGTGGCAGAGGCTCTGGAACCAGCTCTATATGTCTGTGCCAAAGGGTGAATACGTGGGGAGCTGTATTGCTACTGCAGTGTGTGCTGTCACTGTGTTGTGACTGACAGCTGACTTACAGTCAAGCCAGCCTCTTCCCTAACCCTGAATTTGTACATAAAAGGAATGAGAGACTCATGTTCAAAGAAATACAACTTCCTGAGAACACTCCTATTGGTTCCTAGAAAAGAGATTAATTTGACCAGCTTGCTCTAATCATGGGATTTTCAGGGTTGCTAAGGGCCATATGGACCTCTCTTACTGAAGGAAGCAAATGAATGGATACTGTCTGGATTCAAAACCTGCTGCACTTACATGGTCATTTTAGTTGGACAGCTTCATCAATCACCTCCAGAACGTCACTCAGTGATGGATGGTCACCTGTGCTCAGCAACCACAGCGGGAAAGAAGTGCTGGCAGAGGCAATAAGTACCTGAGTCTCACTGAGCCAGTGCTCCTTCCTACCCAGAGGCCGACCCATCATTCCTTGTCTGAGGCACAATGCAGAAACCAGAACCGTTCCTGGTCTCCCCTCTGGCAGCTCACAGCTGTGGGCCTAAAAAGCAGTCCAAAAATCTGCACGGGAGAAAAGGGACAGAGCAGAGAGATCAAATTAAAACGCAGCCATGGAGTACAGCAGTTGCAGGAGGCTTTAATGAGGACTCTTGTAAAGGCAGGGACATCCCTTTGTTAGCAGCTCTGTCTTGTTAAAGTGTGGGTGGACAGTGGCTGTTCCCAGCCATGCCCTGCCACGAGGAGTTCCTTTGCCTGGCTCTGCCTTCTCGCTTGAGCGCAGCAGAGCGTGGGAACCTCTGCCCGTCCTGCTTTTCCTTAATTGCCCCTTAACTCTCTACACTCCGCTTTTCTCCCCCCGGCCTGGGCCTGTTCAGAACAGGATCAATGGCTTTTCATCAGAAAAAGTACTGTAGTGTGACCAGTGTTTTATTTGGGATGTCAGACGTGTGGAGCAGTGAAGGGGCTGTGAACAGGTCTGCCATAGAATCATAGAATGTAAACGGGTTGGAATGGACTTTAATTATCATCTACTCCCAACACCTGCTGCCACAGGCATCTCCCACTAGCCCAGGTTGCTCAAGGCCTTATCCAGCCTGGCTTCCAACACTGCCAGGGTTGGAGCATCCACAACCTCCCTGTGCAACCTGTGCCAGTATCTCACCACCCTCACAGTAAAGAATTTCTTCCGTATAGCCAACCTAAATCTCCCTTCTTTCAATTTGTACCCGTTCCCCCTTGTCCTGTCACTGGTGCGCAGTCTGCAGCTTCCTTTGTTACTGGCAGGGCTGTGTGGTCTCCACGGAACCTTCGCTTCTCCAGGCTGAACAGCCCCAACCTTCTCAGCCTGGGGAAGAGAAGGAGGCACGAAGCCTGGCGGGGAGCCGGGGGGTGCCGAGCCTGCCGGCGGTCCGTGCCCACCCCGCCGGCGGTCCGTGCCCACCCCGCCGGCGGTCCGTGCCCACCCCGCCGGCGGTCCGTGCCCACCCCGCCGGCGGTCCGTGCCCACCCTGCCCCCTCTGTCCCTGCCCATTCCCAGGATTTCCCTTCCCCGCTCCCGCCGGCTCCTCTCCGCCCCCTGGCGGCGCCCGCCGAGCGCGGCCCCCCCTCCCTCCCTCGCTCTCCATCCTCCGGCTCTGCCCCATTGTTCTCCCGTCCCTCGCTCCCTCCCTCCCTCCGCCGGCTCTCGCGTCCTCCCTCCGCTCTCCTCCATCCCTCCCTCTCTCTCTCCATCCCTTCCTCCTCCTCGCCGTCCCTCCCGCCCCGCTCCCCGCCGCTGATGTCACGCACCCGCTGAAGGCGCGGGCGATCATGGCTGCTGCGGCCGCGGCCGCGCCGCCCGCCTCCCGCTGATGCCCGCGATGGAGCCGGCCAGCCTGCTGCGGTTCCTGCGGAAGCTCAAGGAGGTTTTCGACGTGTGCGACGAGGATGCGGACGGGTTCATCCGCGTGGAGCACTTCGTCGCCCTGGGGCTGCAGTTCGGCCAAGGGGATGAGGTGAGCGGGGCGACCCCCCCGAACCCCCCGCAACTTTCACCTGCTGTGCGCGGTCGGACCCCGCCCGGACCCACCTGCCCGCACCGCCCTTCCCAGGGCAGCCCAGACCCGCTCCTCTCGGGGACCCGTCCCTCGGGGGGTCCCACAGCCCTCCCCAGGGCAGCCTGGACCCCCTTTCTCCCCGGCCGCCCTCCGCCTTTCCCGCGGAGTCCTCCCTAAAGACATCGCGGCTCCCTCCATCCCACAGGGGGTCCCGGAGCATTCCCGGTCCCTCGGGGCGGCCCAGCCCCCCGGGCTGACTCGGTCGCGGTCCCCTGGGGTGGAGGGACCTGTCCCGGTGCTGGGAGGTCGCGGTGCCTTTCGCGGGGGCGTTTATTGTGTTTTTCCTCCGTCCTGGCTGAGCTGAGCCCGCACCGGGGTGCCCGGCTCCGTTGGGGTACTGGGAGCAGAGCCAGGTCTGGACAGGCAGGGAAGCACTGTCCGGGCACCCCAAAAGCTGCAGGTGATGGGTTGGAAGCGAGGGCTCCATCCAGCCCTCCCTCCAGTGACACAGCGTAAAACTGGAGTCGCGCCACTGGTCTCGGAGCGGTTGCGTCAGTGGGACCACTGTACATCGTGACATCAGTGTAAAATGGGAGTGGGATTCGGGCCAGAGTCAACGAGGGCAACGACGTGCGCTTGGTTTGAAACGGTTCCCGTCAGTGGTTCCATCCAGGGCTGCAGCTCCAGCGAAATTAAACAACAAGAAATGCTTTCCCGTGGAGAACTCTCGGGATACTGCACTTAACTCTTCAATACACCCCAGCAATTTTGGGTGCCAGGAAGGAGGAGTGGAGTTGGGACTGGGATAGGGTTCAGAAAACCAGTATCAAACAACCTTTTAAACTATAGTAAAACAAATTAGTGTGAGGAGCCCATGAAACAGTGGTTTATAAAGGGATGCCAAAGAGGCAGCAAAACCAGAGTGAATGCATAGTAATTGTTGGAGCAAATTACTTATTTCTGGCTTACCACTCTTAATGAAACACAGCTTGTGAATTAAATCAGGAAACCAGGAGACAGAAGGCTTATTGCTTACAGATAGTCACAGGTCTGTTAAACATTTTCTTAATGAGAAGATGGAGTTTCTTGTTTTAACCAGCAAAATAAGGAGAAATGAGCAACAGTAACGAGTTCTTTGATTTCTGGTTTTATTTGTCTCTTGGTAAGTTGTATAATTTTATATAAAGTAATAGAAATATTTTTAAATCCTTACTACTGCCAGATACACTGCATCCAAATTGCTTTTTGCACTGCTGTGTTTATCTGGAGGCAGACCAGTGGCTTTCTCATGCAGCACTGAGGAAGACTGATGAAATTCCACTGGCTGTTTTGCAGCAGGATGACACTGACGATCATAACAATCCTTTTTGGCCTTAAAAATCTTTAAAGTTGTGACAGGGGAGCGGGTTCTGTGAGATGCAAGAAGGATTCAGGTGGTGATCTCGTAAGCTTTGAGTGATTTGGAGTATATTAGCTGGAAAATGTTTAAATGGAGAGAAAAAGGAAACTGGAAATGTCAGTACAGACAGCACTAGAGAAGTACCAGTTGTCAGTGGTTGTGTGTGGGTTTCAGGACAGGCTGACTTGCTGGGCAGGCACAGGAGAGATTGCCAGGGATGAGAAATGCATCCCTTGTATTTTGGTCAGTTGTAACTGGCAGTGTTTGATAAGATATTTGCAAATCTGGGACAGAAAAGTCTTATCTCTGCATCTTATCTATTTATCTGTCAGGGTTATAATATAACTTGTTCTGGTTTACTTCCCCGTGTCTGGTGTAGTCAGGGGTGGGAGCACGTGTCAGTTGAGTAAATGGGATTTGTAAATCACCAGAAGAGGTTTGCTAGAGAAATGCAGAATCAATTTTGCAAGTGCAGATTTACTGTAGAACAGCCACTGCAGATGACCTAGTCTGGTTTTAAGGCTTATTAAAAATGGGCTTTCTGTGTGATGAATCACAGTTGATGTTTGGAGATGGCAAGAATCTACTCTTTCAACCTTGCATCTGCAGGAGCCTAATAAGTTCTGTGTGGGAATACATCTCATGAAATTAAACTGAGGAGACACTGTTAGGGAGCAGTTCCCTTTAACACATTAGAACATATTTACTGTCAATGAAAATTAATTATATTTTTGAATATGCTACAATTCTTGGGCTTGATCTACCTCAGCTCCCTTTACATTCAGAAGAGATCTTTCCATTCTCATCAGTGAAAGATGAGTTTGCCCTCATGTGTCAGTTATTTGCTCCTTCTGTTGACATAGTTCATGTGGTGACAGGAAGGATCCTATTTGGTAGCACTGTGGACTGAGTAATTATGACTCTTACCAACAGTAGCCCTGGGTTATGTTTATGAACTGAGAGAGTATTTGTCCCTTCAGTTGTGCCAGCTGGGCACAAGCAGCTTTCCAGCTCTTCTCTACTTCTCCAAACCACTGCCATCCAAAGTTTGGAGTCTATAAATTCTTAATATTGACTTCAGTGGGGCTTGTGGCTTGGACTGTGTAGGGCATTTAGCCTTTTCTGGTTGTTTCTGTTTCTTTCTCCTTCCTTTTTCTTTCTTCTTTGCTTGTTTTTGTGTGGCATGTAGTAAACATGCTGAATGTTACCATTCCTGAAAGATAACAACTCTCTGAAAACTGCCCCAAGGCAAGATGTTGCAGCAAGGCAGCAGCTTTCTGTTGAAGCAAAGCAATCCTTACCTGCACAGGGAAAATAATAAACTCTAACCTTTCTGGTTAACTTTTTTACTGTTTTATTTTTAGCAGGCTTTTGAGGCCTCTGTTTCTAATAGCTTGGTGCTTTTCTTTTCCTAAGGCTGCACCATCACTACTGTACCTCATTCCATTCTGCCTTGCACATGCACACCAAAATGCTCTTCTTGCCATGCAGTTTGATGCCCACTTACAGCAATGCCAGTGGCCTCAGAGTGGCTGTTTAGGTGAGGTATTTTGGCTGTGGAAGCACTTTTAGCAAGTTTGCTTTCAAGCTTTTGCTTTGCCCTAGAAAACATGTGGTTTAACTAAAGGAAGAAATGATTTGGCCGTGTAAATTTGACACAGCCAGGAGCAGAGTCATGTCTCTAAATTCCTGAATTTAGAGCAGATTAGCTGTCAAGTACTGCTTGCCCTTACAAATGGTTGTGGAACTTGTGCTTTTAGGCAGTTTGGTTTTCTGGCCTCTGTTCATCCCATCTGGCTGTGGGCATTTAACTGAGTTGTTTAAATTAATCTTTCTCCATGGACATTGGTGAGCAATTGAAAGCTCAGAGGCTCTAACAGGACCAGAGGACGAAATAAATCCTTCAGAGGTGCTTCTTTATCTCCAGGACAACAGAAACTCCGAGCCGAGACTTGTGGTTCAGTGCTGAAAGCCGGCAGGGTTGGGCCTGGCCTTTCCTCTTGAATGGGGTGTTTGCTGTTTGTGTGGAAATCTGAAGAAAGACATGAAGGGCTGTTTCCAAAGCGACTTGACGGGATGGCATGTGCTCACCAGCTACAGAAACACTTCACATTACACTGAGAAATGCCAGGAGTCGCTCGCCATCTGGTTCCCTTTCACTGGGGAGGGAGCTTCACTACCAGCCA